GGCGGCCTCCTTGGCCGGAACAGGACGAGCAGAGAGTTCATAGACGGCCTCCTTGGCCGGAACAAAACAGACAGAGAGTTCATTGACGGCCTCCTTGGCTGGAACAGGACAGGCAGAGAGTTCTTTGACGGCCTCCTTGGCCGGAACAGGACAGACAGAGAGTTCAAAGGCGGCCTCCTTGGCCGGAACAGGACAGGCTGAAAGTGCCTTGCTGGGCGCCACCACCACGCAAGGAGCTGAAGTGAGCACCGCCGTTTCGGGAGGTACTGCAGCGTAAGCCGCCACCTCTGGAGATGTTGTAGCTGGTGCCGCTGCCTCTAGCAAATCGGCGGTGGAGTACGCAGCCCAGATGCACCATAAAGCAACCCCCCATATGGGAAGTGCTGCAGACAGGGGAATGAGTTCATGAACAGAAGGGTTAGAGTGAGTGGGTTTGGGGATACCAGCGGTGCTTGACTGAACTCAGGAAGATCAGCTGTGACTTGACTGAACTCAGGAAGAACAACTGTGACTAGACTTGACTCATGACTATCAACTGTGACCTGACTTGACTCATGAAGATCTGTTGTGACTTGACTTGCCTCATGATGATCAGAGATGACTTGACTTGACTCAGGGCGATCAACCGGGACTTGACTTAACTCATGAAGATCAGCAATGACTTGACTCATGACGATCAGTTGTGACTTGACTTATGAAGATCAACTGTGACTTGGCTTGACTCATGAAGATCAACTGTGACTTGGCTTGACTCATGAAGATCAACTGTGACTTGGCTTGACTCATGACAATCAGTTGTGACCAGACTTGACTCATGAAGATCAGCTGTGACTAGACTTGACTCATGAAGATCAGCTGTGACTAGACTTGACTCAGGAAAATCAGCTGTGACTAGACTTGACTCAGGAAGATAAGCTGTGACTTGACTTGACTCATGACGATCAGTTGTGACCAGACTTGACTCATGCAAATCAGCTGTGACTAGACTTGACTCATGACGATCAGTTGTGACTAGACTTGACTCATGAAAATCAGCTGTGACTAGACTTGACTCAGGAAGATCAGCTGTGACTAGACTTGACTCAAGAAGATCATCTGTGACTTTACTTGCCTCATGACGATCAACTGTGACTTGACTTGACTCAGGAAGATCAGCTGTGACTCGATTCATGAAGATCAACCGTGACTTGACTAGACTCATGAAGATTAACTGTGACTTTACGTGATTCATGAAGAGCAGCTGTGACATAATGGGGTGCGGTTGCGTCCGCCATTTTGCGATCAAACTCCGCTGTCGCCACCATTTTGTGAGCATGCTCTAGTGTGGCCGCCATTACACAAGCGGACTCTGAGTCATGTTTCTCTGCAACCCCAACCGTGAACACGGAGTCGACACACAGCAGAGCAAAATCCAAAAAATAGCTTAGAGAAGAACGGGGACCCTCATGGATTAATCGTGACCTTAAGAGGGTTCATTTACTCCATCATATATAATATATATATTAGGGCTGTCAATCGATTAAAATATTTAACCGCGATTAATCACATGACTGGCATGAGTTTACTTGTGATTAATCACAACTTAATCGCACAATTTTATCTGTTCTAAATGTACCTTAAAATAATACTTTTCAAGTTTTTTTATACTCTAGTCAACATGGGCCTGGACAAATATGGATGCTTTATGCAAATGTATGTTTATTATTAGTGAAATCATATTCAACATAGAGCATAAAGAATTCAGATTCAAGTTTTAGTCAAGAACAAAAAGTTTTTAAAAACATTTTTAAGAAATTGAATCAAAAGTCAAAAGTATCAATTATTATATTAATTGAAACAATTATTATCAATTAATTATTATATTCATGAAATAACATATAACTCTATTTTACTGGCTTAATTGTTTAGATTTTTATAATGCATTATCTTCTTATTGAGCTACCATTTCACATTTACGTTCGCTTTGATCTGAACAAAAACAGCAGACAGGCTTATTGAAAATGCAAATTCATTCTCTGCTAGCAGATGGTGCTGTCGGAACGGCAGAAATATAGCGGTTTCTCCGACTGTATACAAAGCAGCACAGCAGCTGACTTTGAAACGTGCAGCGCTCATATTTATTCAATTAAATCATAACCGTTTGAAGTTTGTCACATTAAGCCATATAGCAATTCTTGTCTTTCCCTTCCCAAATCTAAGACCTCTTGAAATCATAATTAAGACTTTCTTGCTCCATTTAAGACTTTTTATGGTCTTAAATATGATACAACTAATGGTGCTTTTCTGTAGTGTAGCTATCAAATGATAAGCGCTAAACAATATTCGGCGGCGGGAAGGGATCAGAGTGAGTGTTAAATAGTGAGTGAGTGATATGTTATGCAAATGTATGTTTATTATTAGTGAAATCATATTCAACATAGAGCATAAAGAATTCAGATTCAAGTTTTAGTCAAGAACAAAAAGTTTTTAAAAACATTTTTAAGAAATTGAATCAAAAGTCAAAAGTATCAATTATTATATTAATTGAAACAATTATTATCAATTAATTATTATATTCATGAAATAACATATAACTCTATTTTACTGGCTTAATTGTTTAGATTTTTATAATGCATTATCTTCTTATGCATGAGTTTACTTGTGATTAATCACAACTTAATCGCACAATTTTATCTGTTCTAAATGTACCTTAAAATAATACTTTTCAAGTTTTTTTATACTCTAGTCAACATGGGCCTGGACAAATATGGATGCTTTATGCAAATGTATGTTTATTATTAGTGAAATCATATTCAACATAGAGCATAAAGAATTCAGATTCAAGTTTTAGTCAAGAACAAAAAGTTTTTAAAAACATTTTTAAGAAATTGAATCAAAAGTCAAAAGTATCAATTATTATATTAATTGAAACAATTATTATCAATTAATTATTATATTCATGAAATAACATATAACTCTATTTTACTGGCTTAATTGTTTAGATTTGTATAATGCATTATCTTCTTATTGAGCTACCATTTCACATTTACGTTCGCTTTGATCTGAACAAAAACAGCAGACAGGCTTATTGAAAATGCAGATTCATTCTCTGCTAGCAGATGGTGCTGTCGGAACGGCAGAAATATAGCGGTTTCTCCGACTGTATACAAAGCAGCACAGCAGCTGACTTTGAAACGTGCAGCGCTCATATTTATTCAATTAAATCATAACCGTTTGAAGTTTGTCACATTAAGCCATATAGCAATTCTTGTCTTTCCCTTCCCAAATCTAAGACCTCTTGAAATCATAATTAAGACTTTCTTGCTCCATTTAAGACTTTTTATGGTCTTAAATATGATACAACTAATGGTGCTTTTCCACTGCATGGTACGGCACGGTACGGCTCGGTACGGTTCACTTTTGGGGGGTTTTCCACTGGGTACAGTGTACCTGGTACCTGGTACTTTTTTTAGTACCACCTCGGTTGGGGTTCCAAGTGAACCGTACCGTTACCAAAACGTGACGTGTAAACTCTGCTGATCACGGATTGGCCAGAGAGAATCATCACTACCTGCGTCACTGAACTTGAGACACAAACACAACAGAACCGCTAGATTTAAATCAGCACAGCCAGCGAAGGATCGAACGCAACTGTTTTGAACGAGCGCACCTTTTTTTTAACAACCAAAAAGTTTTGTTGTCTGTTGCGGAAGAACAGACGTTCCTCTCCTTGATAGCAGAGGAGCGGATCCAGCGGGAGCTTGATGGGGCGACGCGGAATTAAAACGTTTTTTTTAGGAGTCGTGGTAGTAGAGGCGGCGCAACTATAACGACATGTGAATAATCCCGCCCACTCTAAAGCGGTACTGAACTGCAGTGGAAACGTAAACCGTGCCAAGCCGAACTGTGCCGTGCCGTACTGAGCCGAGTCG